AACAAGATAGGCAGAGAAGTATCGTTCCCCATCGCCAAGAACTAACTATCCAAAGGGGGATCGTTACACAGTTGTAATACTCTGTGAAGTCTATTGACTTCTGTAGTAGTGTTTTTCAGGGTTCAAGACTCTTTTATTTATTGTACTATGGGTGTGAATATATTGGTTTCTCATAGAGATTCTTTAATATTCGATACCATATCTTTATATAAAAATGTCCCATTACTTACAGCCCTTTCCAAAAGTATTATAACCTTGGAGCCTCATAACTCCCCGAGTAGTTGATGGATATAATATGTTCCACTTTTCAGACTTAGCCGAAAGTCCTCTCCCATATATCCTGCGAACAGGATCTTGTCAGATGGACGGCAGTGACGTATATGGTGTTACTCTTATACCTTAAATTCTGTGGCAATTATAGTTACAGGATGTAACTGAGATAGATATTTATGACAATGTAAAGGGGCCTGTAAGGGGGCTAGAGAGGAGTGTTGGAGACCAGAGATTCTGATTCTGAGTGGGATTATCTTACTTAGGGTAGTTCCTAGGTATCTGATCTCAGTACTCCTAACACTAACTCTTACGGGATACTAACAACTTGTTTGAAACAATAACCTTACTTTGGAGGTTCTTTAGAATTTCCTCTAGAATGTAGAACATTTTTAAAGTTTTTTCTACAATTGCAGTTATTGGATTAGTAAATGGATTATAGATTGTCACTTTCTCTGCCTTTTCTCAAATAACTTTTCTTCCTTAAAGAAATATTCAGATATGATAAATACTAGTAGATTGAGGATGTTATAGATATATAGATACTAATTTGTAACTAGTTCAATAAACTATTGTACCTGATATGGATTAATTTGTTGCTAATTTTCCAGTTACAAAAAGGGTCCCGTTACTCTGATACATTCCAACACTAGGTAAAATATGTTAGACAATTATAGGGTGAAATATGTGTAGAAGATTAAATAAAAAAAGGGTTTTTATTTTCTTTACTGGGATGATTGAGGCAGCCCAGCCGCCTAATATTCCAAATGATCCTACTTCCTAATATGCTAGAAATTCAAATCCTGAAGCAGGATTTGAACTTATAACCTTGTAATTAAAGATAAGGAGGCCAACCTACTTTTAACAACTAGATTATGAGTGAATCCTGTAAAATTACTATTAATAGTATTCCTTATAGGCATCCTGCTAATTACTGTAAATAATTACTCCTTTATTATTATTTTACTTTTATTTATCTCTATTAATTATCTTATTTATTCATTATGGGGTATTTCTCTAAGCGAGCTTTTTTCATGGGTTGTATAATAGCTCGTTGTTATATTGTAAAAAGCCCTAACTGTATTACATGTATGTTTAACTCGCTGTATAAAATAGTTTTTCCTGAAATTTTGTAATAATTCATTGCCATGCTAGCGCTACAGATTTTACTATACAGCATTTATTATCTAAGACTACTTACTTTCTTCCATTATGTGGTTATCTAGGATCAATATACTAACTCTATTTTCTAACCAATAACTATGAACCTGTATTGACTTGGCATATGTTACTAAGGGAGCAGTTTAGAAACTTTTTGTCCACTTGGAATTCAACATGTAGCTTACTTGTTACATGACATTGTTTTATAAGATTGGATTGAAATATTATTTAATCAGAGCAGGGTACTTACTGTTATAAAATATTATCAAAAAAAAAAGTTTTTTTATATTTTCTATACTCTCAACTTGGTTTAAGAACTTGTTTCTATAAATATATATTTCTTTCAGAATGCATATTACAATCTTAAGTTCAATCTCACACAACTCACCTCTGTTGAATAATTTTCCCTTCAGAAAACTATTTTTACATTTTAAAGACTCGGACTAATGTTAGTGGAATCTTATGAGATTTGACTCATCCTGATATTATATAAAAATATCAATCAGTAGTATACTCATGATAATGCAATTATTTAAGTTATTTAATATTAATAAATTTTATCTGTAGATTATTTTTCTTGCAAGTATTTTTCCTGTTTATACTTTTTATGATTTTTCTTATATCTTATTTTGTTGTTTTTTTTGTTTCAATCAACTTTTCCTTTATTTTATTTTTCTTTATTTTTTTCACCTCATATACTACCTTTCTATTTCTTTTATTTTCTTATTATTTCTTAGAATCATGATATCTTGACAAAACTTGTCCCAATCTCCTTCATCCTGACTGCTCTCCAGTGCGTAGACTCTTACCATTCTTTCATTCCCGCTCTTTCCCCGCAGCAATCTTTTTTCTTTTTCTTGCTGTACGAGATGCCATCGGGGTAGTGCTTATTGCTGCCTTGAAATCCATTGCACTACCAACGTGAATTTTGTTTTACTATACAAATCTTGTATCATAATTACAATAGTAAGTTCTTTTCACCGAGCCCCAAAGAGGGGGGACAGTGCCGCTCCCCCCAGGTGTCAGTCTTACAAAGGAACCGAGGCCCGGCGCAGCGAGTATTTCGGAGTACGGTATTGGCGTTGTTAGTCTAAGTTATCTGCGCCCTGGTAAGAATTTTGAGGGTAGACCTTACCTCAAACAGAACTGTGGTCCCTGTACGGCGGGAGCAGTTGATTTCACACCGTCCTTTTGACATTCGGCCTGTCTCTCCGGGGAGTTGCTGCTCTATGGGGCTTACCAGTTAGCAATAATGGAGGTGGGAGATGTACTCGAGTATGATACGGTACGGCAGTCGCGCTCTTTCTACATAGGGTTTCGGACCTGGTGCATATCTATTCAGGCCCCGAGCTTATGCACATTCGAGAAATGAGCCAAGAATCGGCTTATGCAGGTATCGACTTTGACTCTACTATAAAATCTAGGCGCACGGGACTCCGGATTTATGCCCCATCACAACCCTCCGAAGTCTCGTTAGTCCCTTTGTGCTCCTACCAAGAGCTGTGGTCCGTTGGTAGTTTCTTCTCCATTTTCCAAGATAGGAGAGAGAGGAGACGAAGGACCAAGAAAGGGTGCAGCCACTACGAGCACTATCAAGCAAACACCCCCATCTCGCGTAATAGGTAACCGAAAACGGGGGGAGGAGAAAAAAAGAAAATCTTCCTGAGCCGGTATGCCTTGCAGTACGGGTTTCTTGGAAAAAGCAAACAGGAACATCACGATGGCGGTAACCCCCGTTTGAGAAAAATTTAGGTTGCGAAACTGGGGATGTTTCCAAGAAATCTTTCGCCAATCATTTTCTGTTCTCTGGTGGGGAATTTCAGTTTTTATGATCGCGATCGTGGGAGTGCCGATTGAATTCTCGGGGCTATTTCTGACGTTAGGCATCACCCTCAGTTATATGCCCATCTCCATTAGGATGTGTGGCATTTCTATGCAGACCCAAATGGATTAGGAAGTTTGAGTGATAACTGGTGAGTATTTTTTTGGTTGGGGCGCGAGATCGGGACCACTTCAGAAAGCAGAAGTGGGAATTGCCCGAGCAACACGGTGGGCGAGGGCTTGTGTTACTGCGCCTCGGATAACCTTACACCCGAGTATGATACAGTAAATCGACGATAGCGTGGAGGGTCCTGGGTGCCCTTATATAATCCTTTATCCCCCCTCCTTCGAAAAGAAACTCTTAATATATCGGGCCCACAATCTGAGATTGCTGTAAGACAAAGTCCCTTCACCCCATATTCCCACTAAGCTAACTCTAAACCTAAGCAACGAAGAAAGGCTACCGACTGCCTACTAAGCAACTCCTTGGCCTTCGAATCCGGGCTGTCCTCGTGGGTTGGCTCTTGGGGTCTTAGGAGGCTAACCGCTCTCAAATGGCACCTACCTTTATCAAGTAATGCTCCTTCCTCTGTCTTAAGCATATTCTTCTAACCAGCCGGTGTGACACTGTCGGCCTGCCGGGCCCAGAAGTGGATTGAATACTCTTCGCCCTCCTAGCGAAATATATGGGGCCGTTTCACCGGACCAGACCTCTTGCCACCCTGGAGTTGGATTTCCCCCCGCAAGGCCTTATCTTGAGGATTCCCGCTTCCGGCCGTGAAAAAAGCCATGTTTGGATGCCAAATATTAGGAGTGCCCAGGAAGTGTCACGCTGACCCATAGGAACCATATCGTCTCTGGTATTCCAGTACCTCTTGTCCCAGTACTGCTTGTTCCTTGCACCCGGGTATATATGGCCATTGTGTGAGCTTAAGGAAAGCCGGATGGACCATTCTCCATTTGTCGCTGCGAGCTGGACCCTATCTCTCGCCCTCCCTGGCCTGCTCCCTCCTATAGTTTGGGATTTGGCCCATTCCCTGGATTCGAATCTTCTAACAACTCACAACCTGCAGGATTTAGTGAAAATGGTGAGAAAGGGTGGAAATTGGGGTGTTTTTTCGTTTTTTCTTTGAGGTCATGTACGGGGTACTCTTCTCCTTACATTTTTTTTTCCCACGAAGGTTTTTTTTCGAGGAGTTTAACGAGGCCCATATTGTTTCCGGGACAGTGAGGCTTCTTTTGTTTATTTATTTTCCATTTTCCATTTTTCATTTTTTTTTGACTTTTTTTTGTAAATGGCTCTACCAATATTGACCGTTTCCCACGATGAAAGCCTTTGGAGGAGTGTTTCCAACCTAGTCCTGGAAAATCTGGAATGGGTGATGGGGAGGGAGGGCGTGGGGGGGGGAGCTAGATGGAGCGAAATGGGGTTTTTGTGAGGGCTACTGAGAGGGGTAGTTAGGAGGGCTAGGCAGGATTGTTGAGAGAAAAATAAGGAGTTGAACCTCCAAGGGAACGTTTTCTTCATTCCGTGATATACACCCAGAGATTTCCAATCCTGTTCAACCTGTTGCGTGTGCCGTATTCCGGCTTCCATTGAGCTTCTGAGCTGCCTCTGGGGCAATCCTTTATGTTCATGACATTCAAGCCTCATCCCGTGTATTTTCGGTTCCCCACCCGTGGAGCCCAAATCATCCCTATCATGGATTACCACTAATCCCACTAGGCAGACTAAGATGAAATCCGTAGCTATGCCCAAGTTGAACAATCTAACAAATGAGCCATTCCAACGACAAAACGTTTCTACGGGTCACCTCCCGTGATCTATTCATAATCCGTCATAACCACTCACTCACGCTCGATAGCTTCCACTTCGCACAAAAAACAAACTAAATGCCCTCAGCTTCACTTTGGGATTGCAGCGTGTCCAGACCTCAATTCTGCTTCCCCGCGCATGCGAGAAAACCTGCAGACCTAGCGGTCCTCTCTCCGCGATAAGTGTCTTCCGTTCCGTAATCCATAATCTGATAGCTAAAAAAAAAAAAAAAGAAGAGAATAAGCCAACCAAGATCACCATCCACACCCCATCACGATTCACGGTAAAAAAACACCTCCCCCTACACAACCTCCAACGGAACCCTCCCGCCCTCTGCTGGCTCCACCAAAATTCTCATCCCAGCCTCTACCTCGCCCCCAAGAAGTACAACCCCCATAACCCCGGCCTTCCTCTGCACAATCCTGCCACCCTCTTTCTGCCGTACAACACACTTCTCCTGCAGCCCCTTCCTAAACCTTTCAATCTGCGGGCACGGATTCCTTAGCCCCGTGATCTCTACCACCACTGTCCCCTCCTCCCCTTCCACTCCATCCTTAACAAACCTCAACCGATCACCCCTGCCCAACCTCAAAACATCAATGTCTGAGGTCGTTATGTTCTCCCCTAGGTCTCCGGGATTGACGGGTTCTTCGCTGTCACGACTAAGCGTCGAGAGGAATTCACGAGATATAAAGTGCACCTGGCGTAGATTAGGTGCGGACGGATTGGTGCGTTGTCGGCTTAGGTGTTGGATTGTGGCGCCGGCGTGGGAGTCCCCGCTTACGCCGTAGCCTTGCACGAGGGTTATGGAGGCGACGGGCCTCTTGGAGAAGGAGTGGGTTGGCGATAGGGATACTGAGTGAATTTTGGGGGGCATTGTTTGGTTATGGGTTGATTGGGGGTGTTTTAGAGGGTGGATATGTGTGGGTAATGATTGCGGGTGAGGGGGGGGTGGATAGTTGGTCGTTTTTGTGGGTTCTATCGAGTTCATACGCGGGGAGGGGATCTGGTGACTCGATGGCTTATTTGTTTTTTGCGACGTACGTGAGCATCCGTTCAATGCTCCCCTGTATTCGGATAAGCGGTAGGGTGTTGTACTCGTACATGGATTGTCTGGCCTCTTCATAGAGTGGTGTTGTACAGACTGTATGTATGGTAATGCTTTCCGCCCGATGGAAAGTATGCCGAAAGGTAAGTTCTATGGGCGGGTGCCCTCCGAGGAAAGCAATTGTGCCTAGGACTGGTGTGATATCTACAGGCAGGTCGGAATAGCTAGACAGGTTTCCGCTTGTAAAGTGATGTTAGAAGGGAAGAAGCGACAGTACTACAATTACAGAACAGTACAGTGCCACAATCAAGTGTCAACCCAACCAATGCTAGTACTTTACTAACAGCAAATTAAAAACACACATATAATCCAATCATGACTCGATCTCAGACCTTATTACACATCAATTCGCGCTCATGCCGGATACCGCGCTAAGCTAGAATGAACGAGCACTATCAGTATACAGTGCTTGAGTATGATAGTTTTCAAGCAAATCCGGATCCCAACTCGCCAGAGAATAAATTCTAGGTCTCCCGTAATTCGTGATATGTAAACCCCGCATAATATTATAATCCCCGTCCACAGTAACACATGAAAATGCCACCATCACCCCCGCAACCGCTTAGGGCAGCTGAGGTAGGTTGGTAGCAGAGAATTCCACATCAGTTGTACTATACTCTACACGCTCATGGGTTCCCCATCACAATCATTACTCGTAGAAGAGTCATCTCCGATTTCTTGACAGGGGGAGTGGATCAAGAAAAGAGAAAGAAAAAAAGATTTTTTTTTTCCGACCATATGTTCACGTCTGGTCTAGCAGCTGAGACAACTCGATAACTACATTAGTCTACCGAGGGATTCAGCGCCAGGGGATAAGGCAAGAAAACGTACGAAGCTTGCAACAAAAAGCCACCGGCATTGTAAGTTTCTCGAGTACAGTAAGCGTACTGTACTAGACTATCCTACGCCCAAAGTAGTCGACTCCAGATACAAAGAATACGGGAAATACTACGGATAGCTAGCTACGGGCTTCGGAACTATGCCAACTTTTCATACACAAAAGCTTATTATTAGGTCTGGCGGTGGCGGATTGATGTTTTGGCAGCCAAAAAAATATTTTAACAAAAACCGCCAGTACCTAATGTCACTTTTTACTCCTTGGTCAGCGGACATCCCAGAAAATGAGACATTTATTTGTGATGACCTGAAAGAGAAGAGAAAATCCAAATAGTCCTCTTGGATATCCAGTAGATTTCGGGTTTTATATATAGAATAGAGGTGGTGCAATAATGTTGTCAACATGGCTGACTACTTTAATTGCAAAATGTACTTTACCAGTGGTTTTTGTTACGAGCTTTGTACAGTACTCGGGTGTAAGGGTACTTGGGAAACGGTAATACAGGACTTCTCTACCGGTTCAACAATTCCCTTTTTATCACCTTCCCAGGAAGATTGCTGCATATATGGTTTGTCCTACACTCTTATACAAACATGTATAGTAAAAACCATATAGTGAAAAATATCTTGTTATCAAAATCCTAAAGGAGCCTAGAACAATGAACTGACATAAGATGAACACTTAAAAGTTTTCACTCTTCATGATAATACAGGATAGACTTGGACTAAAGTTGGTCAACATCTTAATATTTCCTGCTAAAATTGCTAAAAAGGTATGTATAGTTTAATATCTTTTAAACAAACTGTTAGGCGAACACGATCTGTATAGACTCAGAATAGTCTAGGCCAATCGAGATTCATTTTGTAGACCGAGTTTTGTCTTGGAAGGCTCAAAGGGTCACTTGTTTCATTCATAACTACTAAGAGTAAGGTAAAGTAAAATTAAATCATAAAACAATATTACATTGTTAAGGTCTCTTCTCTATTGCTTGATGATGTCTAAAAGCTTGAAAGAAACTTTGATATTTATATTCCATGTCTGAGTGTTTGTGGACTACATCTATCTATGATACAAACTATATACCTCTCTGGTTATAACTTGCAATGTCGGGTATTCTTCAAAGATATGAACACCTAAAGACCCTGAAAACTACAATACCCTCTTCAGTAATTACAACTATTTTACTATTTAGGAACTATGCTATTCTCAATAGTAATTATCTGATCTTCATTAGACTTGTGGCCGAGTTCTCAAGTCAAGCTGAGTTGGCCCCAATTGCCTCCCTTATTAATGAAATAATCAGTTTCATCTGCAGGTTGTATTTGCAGAGGTAGTCATAAATTTAACCTTCCTAGGTCGCCAACTTTAAACCTTCATAACTCCGGGTCCAACTAACAGATATCTTCCAGATGATTTCCTATTAATCTGTAGGTAGCCATTTTACCAGATTGGCAGATAATCCCTTAGTTAGTAGCAACTTTGCTAAGTTATGTATGCAACCTTCTTTCGTTGCCAACTTTGAAACTTAATATTTCCTGACCTAACTAACAGACTTTTATCCAGTGACTTTCCTTCTGTAGAGGAGAAGCACTTCTATAGAATAGAATCATAACTCTTCAGCTGGAGGTCTTTGAATGTCATGCAAGGAACCTTGCAGTTGCAAGTGGTATTGGTAGAAAATAACTCAATACTAGAAATAACTTTAATGACAATAGGAGTTGAACATATGACCTCCAGAAAGATGTCACATGATACTTCTATTGAGCTAGCAGTACAGTGTTATTCTTACATCTTAATTTCTGTAGCATCATAGTCACAGGATATAACAGAAATACTGTAAACTCTCGTTAAATCCACCATCGGGGATCGGGGACTTGGCCCACTAGCAGGGACATGCGCAATATGCCAAGAGGATTAGTGATTATCTGTGATGCAGAAATAAAGTGTTCCGAGGATCATTTTCAACGTCACAATAGTTCTAATAGGGGAGTGTCACTCCCAGTACTTTAGGAAAATACAAGTTAATACAATCAATGAAGCTCATCCTCCTCAAACTATATACTTTCTGGATAACACTATTCCCCCCCCCCCAACATATTTTGTCATTGATTGTGAGGATCCAAGGCCAATACGGGTAGTGTATCTAGCAAGTAAATATTGTTGAAATTTTTGATTCGTTTCATATGTATATTTCACATGATAATAGCGTGTATTCTCATACTTGGTATATGTTCTGGTTAAACCTATACGCCACGGACATTACTACAGCTAGGACATTTATTGCATATATTTCATTAATATTTCATGATAGCGGTCAGGGATTATACATATGTTTTCTTTTGGGTGTTTAGATTATTTCGGTTACTTATGCATATTTTATGCACTCTTCTTGGTCATCAGATTCATAATGTTTCCGCATATCTTTCATACCATTACACGTTCACATATGTTTAAATTAGATTTCTTTGGCAAGTTTCTCAGGGTCAAACACGGTCGCACTTATGTTCTTCCTATGTTTTCCCTATTTTTCTCTTAGTTACACAGGGTTACCCGCACCTGTATATATAGTGAGTTATCACCCGCCTCGCTTAGGAGATTTAAGGAAAAGAACTACTACCAATCTGCCTTCGCACATCTACCTCCTCCTCACTTAGTATGCCCATAGTATAAACTTCATACTGTGCGCTATTCCCGTACAGAGTTATTAAGATCGTACCGCTATAAAATTTAATAAATATGGTATAAGATATTCGATATGAGTGCTTTTTCTTCCTGGAAGTATAGTGAGAAAGCATCTTGAGCAAACCTAAGACTTAAAGGTATTAATAGTATATCCGAGTCATTCATGTCCAACAAGTACAAATTCAATAGTATCATCTTCCGAGTCTATATCTCCTGCATTCCCTAGTACATCTGCTAATTCATCGAGTGTGCCCAAGTCTTGCCTCCAATTACAAATCTGCAAATTTGAAAAGCCTTTAATATCTAACTTGTAATCTAAACTGCCATCTATAGGAAGTGATAAACTAATGTTACGGAAAGAAGATCGAATAATCTCTACCTTCTGGGTATGAAAATGGTTAAAGGCAATTCCAACACACTCCGTAGTCATTACTCGACAATCTCTAATAGTCCATTTCTCAAAAGCCTCCATCAATTCTAGTTCAAAATTTTTTTGATCTGTAAGATCACGAAGCATTTCCTTAAAGGGCTTATTGACCGAAATATCCAGAGGCTGAACAAGACTGGTACATCTACCGGGAATCAGGGAGGGGGTTACATCGTTTTTGCGCAGAAGATCGAGTATCGTAGGAGTCTTGTGTGAGCCTATCAAATCAAATGTGAAAAGAGTAGGCAGTCTACCAAGAACAGGGATCAGATGATTTGTGATATAGCATTCAAATAGTATATCGTTCATATACGCCATAGGATTATACTCCACTAGTACTCCCTTATGATGTCTCCTCTTCTCCACACCCAATTGCTGACCAGTGCCATAGAAGATAACCATAGAAGGTACTCAGGCAATACCATGGGCAAATATACACAAAACATGCGTTGCCTGGTGCTTGCCCCATCCCGAGTGCGTTTCCTTGATTCAGATAGTCTTGCTTCTAGTAAGATCATATGTCTTTCCGTTTAAATACACAAACGGGATCGGTGTTTCATCAAGATTGCAAATATTCGACAGTTCATAGCGGCCAACTGGATGCTCAATAGCAATCTCCCAAAGATTCACTGCGCGAGGCTGTGAGTTCCGCCTATTGAACTGAAGCCAGTTGACTACCAAAACTTCGTAATCAACTAGTATCTTGGTAGCTTTTTTTGTGATTGATCATAAGCTAATCTTATTCCGACCTGAGAACCCGTAGAACCACCCATTGCTGAAGCGGAATATATTCGAATTCACGTTTGGATAGATCTCACGAAATCAGAACTGTAATTGAATGCGAAACCATCCAAGTCATACTATTCTCCCTGCCCTCCACCGCTCTATGAAGTCTTTATACAGTTGATCTTCTAACTCGGGCTATAGGACCCACTATGTATACCCCTCCCATTCCTCCTGCACCCTTTGTCCCCCCCTTCCGATTCTCTCAATCTCTTTTTTCTTTCGTACCTAATCACTTATGGTACGACGTGGAATTTGGTAGAGATCGGAGGCTTCTTGCTGGGTGGGTTTTTAGAACTCGATTGGACTGGATAGCGGGATTTGATGGTCTTCAAGGAAGGTAAGTACTCAGAGTCTCTGATTTTGGCTGTACGTTCTCTCAGGATAGACAATTAGTTTCAAATCTTTCAGGCTTAATTGGCATTCGGAAATAGGCTTGACTTTTGGCCCTCGGCGGTATTTCGAACTTCGAATTGGTAGCATTCTCTTCAAGTATGATAGTTGGTAGTATAACTTACATTCTCGGTCCTTCCTATTCTCCTATTTAGCTACCTGTGACTGACTCATTTTATAATATCTATATCTATACTTCTCGTTCTCACTGCCTTTGTGTAACGATCCCCCTTTGGATAGTTAGTTCTTGGCGACGGGGAACGATACTTCTCTGCCTATCTTGTTCTTCTTTGTCTTACGATAGTGCCAGGCCTCTGCCTACTTGTCCGATAGTACAAGACCTTTGTCTTCTATCGGGAAAGCCTATTGTAAGCTTTCTCTAACTCTTCTCTTCTTAAAGAGTCTTTCTCTGCGTAATAATAATAAAGGTCTTGATAATGATAAAGAGCATAAAGGTGTTATTATTCGTTAAAGTAATAAGTAGGAAAAGTACTTAGAAGTCAATCTAATTTTATTTAAAGTCGTACCGCTAACACTGGCATATGACGAGCCCCTGCCGGCCCAGGGATACCGCTAACCAGTATACCACTAATCCTAAGCTAACTAGGTCTACGGTCCCGCACCTGCCATCCCCGAGTCATGCCCGCACGGAAACTAATTACAAGACCATCAAACAACCCAGCGCCCGCCCCGATCCAAGTCTGTAGCCCCTCTGGTATGAAGCCAACCAGCACTAAGCGTAGCCAAAGCCGAGCAAAAGACCAACCCAACCAGGTTCCTCGTCCAACAAACATAAAAACACTACCACTCGGTCCAAACACCGTCCCGCAACACCTCCACCACAGTAGAAAACCAACAAAAACAAAACAAATATAAGCTACAGGCGACACGATGGTAGAGAGGAGGTGACCAACATATCCACCTCTCACATCTGGATGCCAGGCCGTCGACCCTATGAACCCACTTTGCCAAGTGCCTCCGGAGAGCGTAATGGTGAGGAGGACCTGTACCCGCTGCCTGTCCCCCAAAACAAACACATAAACAAAAGAAATATGTAGAGGTGGTGACAGACCGAAACGGTCAGTGGGGCCTATCTCCCACCCATGGTGCCTTGCCCCCGCCAGCCATGCCCATTACCAGACCAAAGAAACCAAACAAACTTCCACAACACCCAGCACATAGAACCCAAACAAGTCCAACCAGATGGTTGCAACCCACTATCCGCACAGGTGGCCATCAGCCCAGCGGTCCGCCGGAGAGCTTTACAGCACTCAGCAGCTTCGCCCAGCAGCCCAAACCGGTCTGGAAACACTTAATTAGACATCACCCAACCTGACGCATGCCCGACCGGTGCTCGCAGGTGCCTCTCCCCCCCCAATCAGCCCCCCCCAAGCCCCACACACCAGATGCCACAGAGCCCATCCAGCCCCCCCAGCCCTCCAGACAGATCAACCATCCGACAGCCACAGGACAGCTTATACCCAGCCCCGCCAAGCAGCCATTGATCCTGGCCACATGAACAGAGCCCAAACCCTCAGTACCGTGTAGCCAAGGGGAGCCCACCAGCCACAGCCGGGGGCCACAAAGGAGGCAGCACCAACGCCCGAAGGCATAAGCACCAGCCACACCATCCAACCCAGCCGAACCGAAATCCAACCGAGTCGGGAAAGAGTAAGCAGAGCCAGCCAAAGCCAGCCCCACAGGTCCGGCAACAGGCGCACGACCGAACAACGGGCAAGAGGCATCCCCAACTGATGCGACAAGAAGGAGGAGGGCGAACGAACAGAAGCAGACAAACAGAAGGTAGGCCCCACTTGCAATGGGTGAAGCCGCCAACCACAGACCACAACCGAACCACCCAGACGCACAGACAGCGCGAGTGCCTGGCAGCCAATCGTCCCACACTACCCCAGGCGGCAACAATAACCACACCAGGGGGTAAGAGTTTTCAGGGTCAAAGCCATCCCCACGAATGCGTGGAGGAGACACCTGACTGAACTACCGTAAATGCCATATGGACAAAAACTCCAAGGGAACGGCGATAAACAACATCGCAGGATTCCGACCGTAGAAATATGTAGTAATAAGGAGGGGGAGGGCCGGCGAGGCCCCCTCCCCAAAGGATTGATGCGGCCGGTATGACGTATTGATACTTGGGAAGGTCATCAGTCTAAGCCAAGGGTGTTTTGTATCGTGAGAACTAAGGACTCCGTTAAAACCCAACAACAGACATGAGCTGGTCCAAAGAACGACACGGGTGATCGCCCCAAACACAACGTTCAATCCCCTCAATCGAACGCGAATCCTGCAAGTAGACGATAGACAGGAAGCAGTAGACATTTTACCGAAAGAGGCTCGTAAGCGACCGTGATGAAGTGCTCGAAGTGCCAGTATCGTGAGATAACCAGCCCAACGAAACGAGACGCAAACAAGTTATCCGCCACGCAACACCCAACAGACCTCAACATCAAAGACCCTCAGGAACTACTGAGCGAACTCAGATATCTCCCCCAGAATCCAAGGCATCAAGGCCCATCATGATGGCGAAAGAAACGCTCGGGGCGAAGCGACGGCAAGGACGAGGAAAAGTACTTAGAACAAAGCATAAAGAACCTATCCTCCTCGGCCGTACCGGCCTCCTTATATATTGTTCTTCCCGCCCCAAGTCATGTGACCTAAAGTAGTCACATGCGCGAAACCAAATCATAACAAACTAGTCATATGACCAAAGTGGTCACATTCTCAAATCCCATGACCTCGTAGCAAGGTCATGTGCAAAAACTCATAAACCAATCATAATGCAATAACAAAGTCATATGACCCAAAGTGGTCATATGCGTGAAACCCATGACCTCATAATGAGGTCATGTGTAAAACATAAATCATATGCGCAAGGCATACTCGCAAGGCATACTTGCAAGGCACACTCGTCAGGCGCACGTCCCATGACTCATTTGAGCCATGTGCGAAACATAACAAATCATAACATAATAAGTCATATGACCTAAATGGGTCATATGCGTAAAACAATATCATACCTATGACTCATAATTATAAGTCACGTGAAAACCTTTTCCTTGCCAAGCCACATTCGTGACATTAGCTCCTCTCCCCCTAAGCCTGAGTCCCTTCAGGCTTTTTCTCCAAGCTTTAACAGTTCCCTTCTGGCCAAACACATGGTCCTTTTAAGCTGATGGAGCTTGTCATCTGCCATCCTCCATCTCACCCTTACTGATTCCAAGGTGAGATTCGCCATCTTGATCGTGCACCACTGGTTGTCATTCAGCTGTCTTAGCTCCGTGATGGTTTTTTCATTTGCCGAAATTGTGGCCTCGGCCTGGCCAAGTTGTTCCCGAAGTCCTCTGATTTGCCTGTGTAGGCTTTGGTCATCCGGTTCCGTTTCGGTTGAGGAGCTTTGGGCTCCCCCCTCTATGGGCCTCATCCTCGAGACCCTAGCCCTATGTCCTATAAGGGCATCCGGGGTATCCAACTCTTTCCTTATCTCATCCTTCTACGGGTAGTATCCCGCAGTTATCTTCTTCATCCTGTGCATCTTGCACTTGTTGTTGAAGCACTGTTTCCAGTGCTTTAGGGCGTGGTCCGGGCGTGGACCATGTTTTTTGTATTCTCTCGGGAACCATCCCGAGCCTTCCTTATCTCCAAAATGGGTCGGACACACATCGTTGTAGCACACTGTCCAGCTTATTGCATTGTACAGGGCGTTTCGTTGTGCTTCTTCCTCACGTTCCCTGATCTCTGCGTCTGTCGGCCCTATGAATGAGTATTCGTGGCTGGTAGGTGTGGTCTGATGGGGGCTATCGCCCCAGCCCTCATGTGGTTGCAAGGGTGCGGGAGCGCGTTCTGTGCCTTTGTCTTGGTTGAACGTGATCGTCACCTGGGCCGGGCTTGCCTGGATATCACTGGTGAAAGGTTGAGAGGGCATCTTGTATGTGTTCGAAGTTGTGTACGAAGTAACAAGTTTTATCATGCTTGGGTGAGTAACCGGTCCACTTGGCCTGGTATTGGAGATTTCCATAGAAGAAGCGGGAATTAACTATCTCGTCGAGTTCGTATTCTGGTTCTCCGTCGCGTTCGATTGGAGGAGGAGGAATAATTATTTGTGAGGGAAATTTGTTATCGTTGTGTAATTCGAGGAGTGAGATGTGGAATGTGTTTTATATTCGCATTGAGGGAGGAAGGTCGAGCTTATAAGCTCGGCTTCCAACTCGTTCCAATATCCGGAATGGTCCGTTTTTCTAGTAGTCCAATTTCTTTGATAGTCGCGTCGTATGGATATTGCGTGGTAGCAACCACACCATATCTCCGGGTTTTATGTTCGGATCGGGCTTCCGGTGCTTATCGTATTGTTCTTTTTGCCATTGTTGCACTTGACTCATTTCATATTGTAACATCTCGTGTAGTCCTCCCATATCCTTTTTATCTGGTATCATGTTGTTGATCGTGTTGTAAGTGGTCTGACCTTTCGGGTGTTGTCCGTAATTTGCAAAGAATGGTGTGGTGCCAATTGTTTCTTGCTTTCCATTGTTGTATGCAAATTCGGCCATTGGTAATAGTGCATACCAATCGTCCTGCTGATAATTGACGTAGGCCCGTAGATATTGTTCAAGTATTTCGTTTACCCGTTCAGTTTGTCCGTCTGTTTGTGGGTGAAATGCCGTGCTCAGTCTGTTTTGTATTCCCATTTCACTGGCTGTCTTTTTCCACAATCTTGATGTGAATAGTATTCCTCGATCTGTGATGATATTCTTCGAAAGACCATGGAGTCGAAAGATTTCTCGGAGGAATATCCGTATAAAATCCATCGTGTCAATATCTTTTCTGACCGGGATAAAATGACTCATTTTGGTCAGAAGATCCACTATGACCAGAATGCTGTCGCAATTCTGTGATGGTGGTAGATCCGTGATGAAATCCATCGTAATTGTTTCCCAGGGTCATTCGGGGATTTCGTTTGATTTCAGCAATCCGTAAGGTGCGTGTTTAGCTGTTTTCGTTCTTTGGCATATGTCACAATTCTTGATGAATCTTTTGACATCCTCGCGTAACCCTGGCCAATAGAATGACCTCATGATGAACTCCGTGGTTTTAGCCGTTCCTCCGTGTCCAGCCGTCCTGATATTGTGATGTTGTCGTATGATGTTTGTCCTTATCTTTTCTTCTTCTGGGATCCATTCTTTTCTGTCGTACCACATGGTTCCGTCCTTCCATTGGCATAAGCCTAACGCGATCCCCTTTATTTCCTTTTTTCCTTCTCTTAATGCTTCTCGTACGGCCTGAATCGTTTCGTCCTTGTCCTTGGCCTCCTTAATTCCTTTCTCTTCTTCTGATGTGAATTCAACAACCTCTATTGCCTTGAAGCACATCTTTGGCAATAGTATTCGTGTCTTCTGTTTGATCCTTTTGTCTTCTTTCGTTTGTGGTTTGTCGCTTGCGATCCTTGTGAGAGCGTCTAGTTTTCCGCTCTCTTTTCCTGGTCGGTATTCGATCTTGAAGTAGTATCTGCTAAGATCTTCCATCCATCTTATCTGATGATCATTCAATTCCTTCGTGGTCATGAACGGGACGAGGTTCTTGTGATCGGTAAGAGCTCGGACCGGGTGGTCGCTGTTCAAGACGTATCTTCTCCATTCTTTTAATGCTTGAACTATTGCTAATAGTTCTTTGTTTGCAACATCATAGCTGCATTCCGCAGGAGTCATTGTCTTCGATCTATAGGCCACTGGTCTCCATTTTCCATCTTCCCATTCTTGCGATAGTATGCCTGAGCATACGTATTTGGAGGCGTCCGTCTCGATCATTGTTTTTCGATTTGGGTCGAAATAGACAAAAATTGGTGCCGATGTCAGATGCGTTCTGATAGCGTCATATGCTTTTTGTTCCGTTTTTCCCCATTCCCATTTCTTGTCTTTCTTGGTTAGGTTATAGAGTGGTTTAGCCAGCCTGCTAAATCCTTCTATGAACCTTCGATAAAAGTTGCAGAATCCCATAAAGCATTGAACATCTGTTTTGTTGTTGGGTTTGGCCCATTTCCAAATTGCTGCCATTTTGCCTGGGTCAACCTTGACTCCGCTTCGATCAATGATGAATCCCAGGTACTCTATTTCTTCCTTATGGAATTCGCACTTTGTTGGTTTTATCTTCATTCTGGATCCTTGTATTGCAGCCATAATGTTGCTGACGTCCTTCCGATGTTGTGACAGGTTTTCCGAATAGATGAGTACATCGTCTAAATACACGATGCAACATATGTCGAGGTACTTGTTGAGTACTTTGTTGATCCATCGTTGGAAGGTAGCCGGTGCATTGGTTAGCCCGAAGGGCATGACCAAGTATTCGAACATTCCATATCGTGAAGCGAATGTGGTTTTCCATTCGTCCCCTACTTTGATCCTTATGTTGTGGTATGCGTCTTTGATATCCAGTTTGGTGAAGTATTTTGCTGATCTTAGTCTGTCCAGGGCTTCTCCAATCAAAGGTAATGGGTACCGATCCTTTTTGGTAACCGAGTTGAGAGCTCTGTAGTCAACACAGAGTCTCATTTTGCCGTCCTTCTTTTTGACGAATAGTATGGGAGATCCTCCTGACGCAAAGGAGTCTCTGATCCATCCCCTGTTCAGGTTTTGCTCAATATACTGTCTGAGTTCTTCGAGTTCTGCTTCTCCTAATGGGTATAGCTTTTTTTAGGGAATTTCTTTTAGTTTTCCTGTTTTTCTGTCCTTGTCCAGCTGAATCTCAAGGTCGATTCCTGGCCTTCTTGGTGGTAGCTCGGTGGCTTCTTCCTCCTGGAATAGGTTCGTGAATTGATGGTATTCTTTTGGAATCAATTCCTTCCATCCTTTTTTGCTTTGGTATTTCTTGTCCTGAATTGCCAGCTCGGTGCTGATGTTGATTTTTGCTAGGACCACTTTTTCGTCTTCGTATGTCCATTTGAGAATTCCCCTGGTGTCTCCTCTTCGATAGTATCGTCCAAAGGCCTGTGCTGTGATCTCCTTGATCACGATCATTTCTTTCGTATCGGGCTGGGTTTAGTCTGTACTTCCAAACCTCTTATCTTGTCTCGTAGTTTCTTCCAATTGATCCACTTTGTGTAGATCCTCTTTGTTGATTTTTTCGATAATCAACTGTGCGATTCGATCGCCTTTTTGGACTTCATAGTCCTCTTGAGCCAGGTTGGCTAAGACCACCTGGATTTCATCTGTATAGTCGGCGTCTATCACCCCGGCCATGGTCATAAGTCGATGCTTGACTGCTAGACCACTGCGGGGAGTTATCCGTCCATAGGTGCCGATTGGTAGTCCAATAGCTATGCCTGTTCTTATCGTGACCTGCCCATTGGCAGGTATCTTGGTCCTCTCGTTGGCATACAGGTCGTGTCCTGCCGCCCCTTTGGAACTCTTGGTAGGCACTTTTGCCTCTCGGTCCAGTTTCTTTATCCGGACTCTCTTGTCTTGCCGTATCTCGGCAAACTTTGCGTGTAAAGTTTCTTCTTCCGCTTCCCGTACTGGTGTTGAGTAAACCACTGGTGAACTATGGAGACAGTCTGTCGCACATCATTCGCTGGTGAAGGTCATTTTGTTCTCGTTCCAATCCATTGTCGGATTGTGTCTTCGTATCCATGGCATTCCTAGGACTCTCTCATGGTTCTTGAGATCGGCTCCCTAGAAGGTTGCCGTTTCCCTATGGCTGTCAATGTCCATAGGTACTGTCGCCGTATGGGTTATAGGACCCATTGCGCTTGGCTTCCCATCTCCTAAGTAGACCTGTCTCGATTTCTTCGCTTTCTTGGTGTGGAGGCCGTATTTGTCACTGATTTCCTTGTCGATCAAATCTTCCATAGCCCCCAAGTCGAGCATTGCATATATTGTCGTTTCTTCGTGCTTTTCGTTGTATATCTTTGTTTTGATCATTACATGATTTCTGTCTTCTTCTCCTTGTTGCATATGTAGTACCGTATAGTAGTTTGCTAACTTGATGGATTTTCCAGGTCCGCATCTTGGGTCTCCCAGACCACCGTCTACTGGGGACCCTCTTCGTTTTCGGCCAGTAGATTTTGCGCGGTCATTTCGCGAATCCCGCTCCTCTTCTGGAATCGGAGAAGGTTGTTTCCTGCTGCCTTTGTTCCTGGGTATCCATTGTCTGGTCGACTTCGACATTCTTTTATTCGATATCCTGCTCTTCCACATCTGAGGCAGAGTTTCCCATTCATCCTTCTCGCTTATTCTTCCTTGGATAGGTTCAAGGCCATTCCAGTCCTTGATTTATCCAACTCCTTGGTTCTCCGGGTGGTAAGGCTCTGCTCTCATTTCGCATAGCTTGTGGTTTGAATATTCCGTTAACATTCCTCAATGACTTGACTGTCCTGTATACCATGGTGTTTTCCGAGTTGTTCCGTACCATATTCAGTTTGTTTTCTTTGTCGATTGCCCGTCTGGCAAATCGGTCCGAGGTTGTATAGCGCAAGTTGGATATTCCCCAGGCTTCTTGTAGCCTTCGGCTGCAGTTTCTTAGCAGTATGATGTAGAGGGTGACATCGTCGAATTCTGCCTCGTATTCCAATAGTCTGCATTCATTCCAGTATGCCGAAAACGTCTGAGTTCCTTGTTGGAGTTTTTCCAACTTTCTCCTTGCTGTTTCTTTGGCATTCAGATCACCAAATTGTTCAAAGAGTACTGCTTTGAACTCTGCATAGGTGACCCAATCCCTTTGTTTCTGCCCATCCTGCAAAGGCATAATCCATTGTCCCGCTAGTCCTCTCAAAAGAGATTCCACAAAGAGAATCTTAATCTCGTCATGTTGTTCTCCATATCCTTTGACGGAGAAATATCCTTTGCATTGCGCTAAGAAGATTCTGAGTTTATCTTCGGTTCCTTCGTATGTGTCAGGTTCTTTAGCTTTTGGCCGCTGGATGTTTCCTTGGCCTGTATTCCGTGTTGCTGCGAGAAAAGTCTGAAACTGATTTTCGGTCATTCCTAGTATATTAGCGCCTGTTGCCAGAGCGGGTGGCGCTGGTGACAACGGTACTACTGATTCCGACATCCTTTCTGGCCTGGGGGTTCCTGTAGGAGAGCTGTCAACAGGTGATCCTCTTTCTGGAGTAACGGGACTTGCTGCCCGCGATGGTTCTGCTGAAACGTGATCTATGACGTTGCTAAATCCTCCTAAGTTAGGATTCTGATCATTGAGGTCGATATCACCTTCCCTGTCTGTGTTAAAGGAGGCCGTCTTGTATCGTTTAGCGTCGCCTTAGGCGACGCTTTGTAATGTAATGATCCCCCTTTGGATAGTTAGTTCTTGGCGACGGGGAACGATACTTCTCTGCCTATCTTGTTCTTCTTTGTCTTACGATAGCGCCAGGCCTCTGCCTACTTTTCCGATAGTACAAGACCTTTGTCTTCTATCGGGAAAGCCTATCGTAAGCTTTCTCTAACTCTTCTCTTCTTAAAGAGTCTTTCTCTGCGTAATAATAATAAAGGTCGTGATAATAATAAAGAGCATAAAGGTGTTTTTATTCGTTAAAGTAATAAGTAGGAAAAGTACTTAGAATTCAATCTAATTTTATTTAAACTCGTACCGCCGACACTGGCATACGATGAGCCCCCGCCAGCACAGGGATACCGCTAACCGGTATACCACTAATCCTAAGCTAACTAAGTCTACGGTCCCGCACCTGCCATCCCCGAGTCATGCCCGCACGAGAACTAATTACAAGACCATCAAATAACCCAGCGCCCGCTCCAGTCCAAGTCCGTAGCCTCTCTGGTGTGAAGCCAACCAGCACTAAGCGTAGCCGAAGCCGAGCAAAAGACCAACCCAACCAGGTTCCTCATCCAACAAAATATAAAATCACTACCACCCGGTCTGAACACCGTCCCGCAAAACCTCCATCACAGTAGAAAACCAACAATACCACACACAT